AGGAATCGACTCAATGGTAACGGGTTTGTTTTTTTTTTGGGTTTTTTTAATTCTTTTCATTAATTAGTGGTATGAATCTGAATTTGGTGTGTATGTGAAAGAGAAAGAAAGAGAGGGAGAGGCAGAGAAATACAGACAGAGAGAAAGATGAAGAAAGAGAGAGAGAGACAGAGAGAGGCATAAGGAATTCAGCAAAAAATCATTGTATTTTCAGGACATAGCCCAGTAACTTTTACTAAAATTGTATTTAATAAATATTTATGATTACATAGATGAATGATTAATTATAAAAATAATTAAATGAATATTCAGCCCCAAAGATATTAAGTGTAGGGGGGATAAAAACGATCACGGGAAAAAGAAATAAGCAAAGGAATAAAGCAAAGCAAGGAGTGTAGGAAGCAAAAAGAGATAGAAAGATTGTTTAACAAACATCACCATAAATGGTATGAGTAAATTAGTGACTGAATGGGAGAAGATATTTGCAAACCCTACAGCTTAGTCCATATAATTAATCCTTACAATCAATAAGAAAAGGCAGCAATCTTAATGGAAAAATTTTCAAAGAAAATTAATGGACACAGAAGGCTAGCAATCATGTGGAGAGATGGTCAAACTCACTAGAAATCAGAAAAATGTGAGTTAAAGCAATGATATATTACTCTACTCCTATAGATAGATAAATAGATAGATATAAATATAGTTAAAAAAACTAGAAAGTCGAATAATTATAGGAGTTGGCAAGGATGTGGGAACTTGGGAAGCATTCTGTTGGTGCACATGTAAACTGATGAACTATTCTCAAGAGCAACTGGTTCTACTTAGTTATAGTAAATATGCTGTTATTATTAGTTGCCATTGAGTTGATTTTGACTTACAGTGATCCCATGTGTACAGAGTAGAACTGCTCCATAGTGTTTTCAAGGCTTTAGGAGGCAGATTGCCAGGTCTGTCTTCTGAGGCACTTCTGGGTGGGTTTGAATTGCCAATCTTTTGGCTAGTAATCAAGTGCTTAATCATTTGTGTCACCCAAGGACTTCTAATAATTATAGGCACATTCTGTGATTTAGTAATTTAGGTACCATAAATATTTTTATGCAGATGTATAAGAACACCGGTAAACGTATGCCCATGGCAGCATTAAGTGTGTAGAGAATAGGAGGCACACTGAGTGGACTTACATAGTAGACTGGATAGGCAAACATAATGCATGCATACCATTTGGTACTACATACTGGTTAGAAGCAATAGATCAGTTGTACACATAGCACATATCATAACAACATAACACTGAGTGAAAAAAAGCAAGCAGCAGACTAAAATATCAATGACTATACCATTTATATGAATTAAAGATATATAATATATACACATAAAACAGTAATACATATATATTGAAATAATAGATATGAATCAAAACATATACATAAAAGCATTAGAATGGTTTCTTCTGGATCCAGATGTGAGGAAGAGGAGTAGGCTCTAGGGATAAAAGTAAAGAAACAGAGAGAGCAAGGGAAGAAGAGAGGGAGAGAAACAGGGAGAGAAGGATTTTACATAGAATAATGGTAATACTGGAGCCCTGGTGGCACAATGGTTAAGAGTTCAGCTGCTAACCCAAAGGCTGCCAGTTCGAATCCACCAACTGCTCCTTGGAAACCCTATGGAACAGTTCTACTCCATCCTATAGGGTCGCTATGTGTCGGAATCAATTCGACAGCTACGAGAGAATGATAATACTATGTGAGGAAGCGAAGAATGTAATAAACTCAACCTTCTGTGTGTGACGATCAAAAGATGAGCGAGTGAGTGAGAAGGAAAAGGAACAGAGACAATAAATACAAGATTAATTGAAGGAAAGGAAAAGGGTCTATTACGGATGGAACTGTGTCCTACAAAAATATATGTTGAAACCCTAAATCCTGTACATGTGAATGTGAACCTGTTTGGAAATAGGGTTTTTATTTTGTTTTGTTAATAAAGTGATAGTGATAGCAGAGTAGGGTGTTTCCTAAAGCTAATCTCTTTGGATTGGTGTCTTAAACAGAGGAATAAAGACACAGAGAACCAGACACACAGGGTGAGACACCACGTGACTACAGAGGCAGATGCATCTATAAGCAGCAAAGGAACACTAAGGACTGCCAGCAGTCGCCAGAAGCTAGAAGAGGGGCCCACAGAAGGATCAACACGGCTGAGATCCTAATTTGAACTCTGAGCCTCCAGAACTGTCAAAGAATACATTTCTGTTCTTTAAAGATACCTACTTGTGGTATTTTTTATTATGGCAGACTAAGTAACTAAGGCAGGTACCAACTACTTAAAATAGAGAAAGTTTTTGTATTCAACAAGCATTTGCTGGGTATTTAGGGATTATAAAATAATTTGATTCAATAGCAACTTTCAAGAAAGTCTGGGTACAAGTGACAGAAGTGAGCTTGTCAAGTAAAGACAATTCAAAGACATCATGGGAGTGTGGGGACACACAGCACAGGATGAGGCCATGTAAAAGCTCCTAACTTGGAATCAGGAGGAATGAAGTTCAAAAGCTTTCTCTCACATCTCTTAGCCATGAGGTCCTGGGCAAATGAAGTACATTTTCTGGGTATCAGTTTCTATAGGTAAAAATAAGACATTAATAATATCCAATTGGTTTCTTGTGAGTAATAAATGAATTACTATCAAATTTTAGGTGCTTGATAAATGGTAGCCATTAGTAACATTATCATAATTAAACTGAAGAAATGATTCATAGAGGAAGGAGTTTTAAAAAAGAAAGGTTTTAAAGAGAGAAAAGTGATTAATAAACTATGAATTAGAGAGGAAACATAGAAGTAACTGAAAAAATAAAGTGTTGAGATATGCAACAAAAGTTGAGATTTATAAGACATGTTAAATAAAAAATAAAGATCATTGAATCAGTATTTATGGAAGGTCATTTTTTTTAAGCTAGTAAGATGTTAGGAGTGAACTTAGAGAAAATAAAATCAGTTAAAAACTCAGGAAAAGCCAGAATTTATTCCAATGTTGAATTATTGCAGTATAGATTATAAGCTGTTTTTAATTCTCCTGGAGTACAAAAATCATTCTAAACAAGTCAATCATTTTGTCATCTGTATCCACAAAACAGATATAAAGTCAAATTCTCATGTCAAATATGATTATAAATGTGTATGAGGTCAAAATTTGATCTATTGTTTCCCTACTCCAAATATGTATATGAAGAAGATGACTGTTGTCATCAAAACAAAATGCTATGTTCTTCAGCCTCTCAGGACAATTTGCTCTATATGAGAATCTTGGAGAAGAAAGAATGAACACGTCTGCCGAATTTATGTGTTTAAGCCTCAAATTTTAATGGCCAGGAATCACACATACACATAAACACACACAAATAACCACAAAAAGCAACTAATAATAACTTAATATTTTCTGCAAAAATATAATAATGTATTGCACATCATTTTCCCAGACTGTACTGGATATTATGTAAAATATAAAAGAAAATCCACAACTTGGTTTCTAACTTCAAGATACATATTATTTCACTGGGGACATAAGGAATAAAGGAAGAAAACAGGAATAAAAATAGCAAATTAAAATGTGAACACATATTGTCATGAACCATATATCTAAACATAGAGCGGAACAATAAATGTAGAATAAGAGTATTCGGAAGAAGATTTCATTAAAGAAGAAAGATTTGAGCTAGGTCTTACAGAATATCAGAATATTTAGAGTTGAAGAAGGGAAAGTGTAATCTAAGTAGAAGAAACAAAATGAATAAAGGTTTAGGAAGTAGGGCCACTTAGCAGTCTGATGAAACCTATGTACGACTTCTCACAAAGTTTTCAGGAGAATAAAAACATTATTCTAAAAAGTTAAGAAAAAGTATACATATAAAGTATAAAGGTTTACAAAAACATCAAATACATTGAAATATAGTTATCAAAAAAAGAACACTTGGATATGGTGAAATATGTGTTTCTTTATTAATGCATTAGATAACAAGGCCTACCATTGGGCCTAATGACTCCCATTTTTGAAATGGTAATGAATGTAAGTGATACTGTGAGATATCTACAACAAATTTCATGTGATATGAATGTATTATTCTATTGGAAACAAAGTCATAGTTGTTGCTAATAGCTTCTGTGGTGTGTGGCCTACATTCACGATTGAAAGAAGTGCTAAATTTCAGCTTGAGGTTAAAGAAAATAAAAGTGTAATATTTTCCCCAAAAGTGTTCACAGACGCCTTCAATTCAATCCATGGACCTCTAAAAACCTGCAGAAAACGACAGGAAGTTATCATTCATTAAGCACCTAATGAGTGGGAGACACAGTAACAAGTGTTTTCATGTTACTCTACAACATGCTAAAAGGGAAACGCTGTTATAATAGACATTGTTACTTAATAGATGAGAAAACTGAGGCTCAAGAATTTTTATCTAAACAGCCTAGGGTTTTACACATAATTTATTCCAGAGGCAGGATTAGAATTTAAATCTGTCAGATTCCAAAACCCTTATTTGCTTTTCCCACTGTCCAATACCACCTAAGAGAATCAGCAGAATTTTTTTTTTTTAAAGCAGTTAGAAAATGGACAGAATCAGTTCAAGTTGTTTTGTAGAGTATTGGAAATAACAATCGAAAGTCTGGGGGCAGGGCCAGAATTTGGAGAGTTACAAAAATTATTCAAAGAGAAACAAACCAAATGCTTGATAGCATACAAAAATAAACCACAAAGGAGTGCACTGATGAGAACATGTTTAAGGAAAAAAAAAAACTGACGACAGTAATCTGAACGGTAAGGACTTTGCAATCTTTTCCCTCCAAAAGATTTTGGAGTGGGCCTAAAATGATACATCATAGTTAAACGTCTTATCTAAAATTAACTGAATACTTTTATAAATTTTCTGAAGATGAGTTTGTATTATTTCGGTTTTCTACTCAGGATCTATTCTTAAATAGAACAAGACACTCAAAATATCTGCTTACCAACATCTGTGCAACTTTCACCATCCACATTCAGCTTCCACCCTTCATAACATGAACACTTGACTGTGTGCTTGTGCTGCTCACACACTTGACTGCACTTGAGATGACCGCTACAGTAATCCATGATTTCACACGTTTTATTGTCTTTCTTAAGTTGAAGTCCTTCAGGGCAGGAACATACAATGCCTCTGCCAGGAACAACAGAGCAGTAGTTGCTGCAGCCTCCATTGTTCAGGGAACATTCATCTATAAAGGAAAAGGTTGTAGGTTACACTCAATGGTTTTCCTCATTTAAACAATGATCACTGAGCTCAATTCTCTAAGCCTTAAATTAGAGCCAAGATATTATAAATGAATATTAGGAACTCCTCTTAGGATTAATTTTTCCCAGGGGTTAAGTGGAAATGATGAAAAAATTCATCTAATGAGTAAATTTAATTCCTCTAATAGGAGTTAAGAGTTCCTGGGTGGCACTAATGGTTAAGTGCTCAAATACTAACTGAGAGGTTGGTGGGTCTGAATCATCCAGAGGTGCCTAGGAAGAAAGTCCTGGCAATCTGCTTCTGTAAGGTCACAGCCTTGAAATTCCTATGGATCAGTTCTAGCCTGCAAAAATAGGGTTGCCATGATTTGGAATTGACTCCACAGCAATGGGTTCATTTATTCATTTATTTTGGTTTAGAATAGAAGTTAGGAATGAAAGATTTTCATTTTTATAAAATCTTGGAGTATGCTTGGTTTTACTCCATAGAGATAAAAAGAGTTCACACTTTCTACTATGAATGAAAAGATTAGACTGAGCTTTTTGGCAGTTAGCAGTTACCAGGCACAGCAGTCTTCCAAAGGCTATGCATCCACGTTGATGATTTAAATATTTGACTTCTTTCAGTGCTTATAAACAGCTATCTACATGTATATACATAGTATGTATATATATTTTTCTGTATCTAAAATATGATCCACAGTGATAATAGAACTGATTAGTCTGCTCTTGACTGGTTGCAGCCAATTAGTTTTTAAATTAGGTAAATTGCTATATTTAGGTGCCATTGAGTCAGTTCTGACTCATAGCAACCCGATGTACGATAGAACGAAACACTGCCCAGTCTTGTGCCATCCTCACAATCATTGTTATGCTTGAGACCACTATTGCAGCCACTGTGTCATTATGCCTTACATGTTTGTTGTTATGATTTACTCAGGGAGGTCATGGAAGCATAATAAAAAATATACTAAGAAAGAAAAATGAGGAGGCGGGGTCAAGATGGCAGAGTAGTCAGATGCTTCCAGTGGACCCTCTTACAACAAAGACATGAAAAAACAAATGAATAGATTATTTATGACAATCTAGGAGCCCTGAACATCAAAGGCAAAGTTAAGGAACCGGACTGAGTGGGAGAGGGAGAAAGAGACAGTTCAGAAGCTGTGAGGAGTTGCCAGACCTGACCCGGCAAGAGCCTGAGCCCTTCAGGCCTGATCAGCTCATGGGTGAGCGGTAAGGCAGGCAAGCAGAGGTGCTCAGGAGGCATGGTTTGTGCACTGGGAGAAACCCAGAAGCAGAGACTCTACTCGGCCACCCAAAACCAGTGAGAAGCAGCCCTCAATCGGTGAAAGATAAGTACTTGCATACAACCTACCGCACAGATCAGAAACACCCCCTTAGGGAAAAACCTCTCTCTCTCATTTACCTCCCTGCTTCCTGTTCTGCACTGGGTCCCAGAGCAGCTTCAGCAATTGCTGAGTCCCCTGGGCCAGAAGTAGGATCTGTCAGACATCCTGAGCCATTCTCCCAGCCTTGGAGAGTGAACAAATTAACAAAAAGGGAAAAAATAAACTGCAGGCTCCCCTAAGCCAGGAACCCAGGGTAGGCAAAGCTCTTTGCCTAGACACAGGCATAAGGGATCCACAGACTTTGAGAGCCTTTCCCCCTGCATAGACTTGTGTGGGCCCATTTCAACAGCATAGGCCCACATTACCACAGTACAATAGGGTATTTACCTGAAGTCTAATCACAACTGTTTCCGCTGTGAAGTGGTAGGTTCGTGATATTTGCCACTACTCTGCCCATTAAGCAGGGTCTTCACCTACCCACATCAGGGGCCTGAGGACTGGTGGCTCCACCCACGCCACCTAGCCACCTCAGATGCAGGCCCAAGAATAAGAGGTGACCCACAGTCCTTACAGCCAACAGCATTGGGCGATCATAGTCCAGCTGCAAAACCCACTCACCTACATGCTCTAGGGAACAGGGACATGCCTTTCTCCTGGACACGTGGGGGTGGCTGTCAGCCCCCTGCCTTGCTCAGAATGTATCCCCCTGCTGCAGTCAGGTGCCTGTGCCTACACCATGCCTGTCTAGGACTGTAGGTGAGAGTCTACAACACACACTTGGTGGCTATTTACCTGGGCACATAAGTTGAATCCATACAGGAGGAATGGGCAGACTCCTGAGCTCACATACCTAGTAACAGATCTAACCACCTGGTGACAAGACATTAGAGATTCAAAGGTACCAATAATCAACTAGCTCATATGAGCAGCCTATTTGTGCATATCAAAACAAAACAAGAAGCAAGGAAACAGTAAGCAAACATAAAATAAATAAATATAATAACTTATTGATGAATTGGAGACAACAGTCAATATCAAATCACATAAAGAGGCAATCCATAATGGCTTCAGCAAGCTCCCAAAATAATCTAAAAAGTTTCCAGAGGAGGAAAATTTCTTGGAATTACCAGAGGCAGAATACAAAAGATTAATATACAGAACTCTTCAAGAAATTAGGAAGGAAATTAATCAAAATGCAGAACACACAATAGAGGAAATTAAAAAATTAGAGAAGAGCATAATGACAAATTTAACAGGCTGCAAGAATCCATAGAGATACAGCAATCAGAAATCCAGAAGATTAGCAATAAAATTTCAGAATTAGACAACTCAAGAGAAAGTCATAGGAGCAGTATTGAGGCAATGGAAGTCAGAACTAGTGAGATGGAAGATAAAGCACTTGACACCAGCTTACTTGAGGTAAAATTAGATAAAAGGGTTTTTAAAAAAATGAAGAAAACCTAAGAATTATGTGGGACTTTATGAACAGGAATAACTTGTGACTGATTGGAGTACCAGAACAGGGGGGTATAACAGAAAACACAGAGAGAATTGTTGAAGATTTGTTAACAGAAAACTTCCCTGATATCATGAAAGATGAGAACATATCTATCTAAGATGCTCATCAAACCTCGCATTAGGTAGATCCCAAAACAAAGTCACCAAGACATACTATAATCAAACTTGCCAAAACCGAACATAAAGAGAGAATTTTAAGAGCATCTAGGGATACACGAAAAGTCATCTACAAAGGAGAGTCAATAAGAATAAGCTCAGACTACTCAGCAGATACCATGCAGACAAGAAGGCAATGGGATGACATATATAAAGCCTTGAAGGAAAAAAAAAACTGCCAGCCAAGAGTTATATAACCAGCAAAACTGTCTCTCAAATATGATGGTGAAATTAGGGCATTTCCAGGTAAACAGAAGTTTAGGGAATTTGCAAAAACCAAACCAAAATTACAAGAAATACTAAAGGGAGTCCTCCAGCTAGAAAATCAGTAACATCAGATAACAACCCAAGACTAGAACACAAGACAGAGCAACCAGATATCAACCCACATATGGAAGTCACAAAAATAAATCAAAGCTAAAACACTGAAAATAGGGAACCAGATGTCAATATGTAAAAGATGATAACATTAAAACAAAAAAGAGGGATTAAAAAATGTAGACATAGATTTTTCATATAGAGAGGAAGTCAAGGTGATATTAAGACATAAAAGACTGGTATAAACTTAGAAAATTGGGGTAAATATTAAGGTAACCACAAAGGAAGCTAACAATCCTACAAGTCAAAATAAAAAACTATAAAAATATAAAGACTCAGCAAACACAAAATTAACAAAAATTAAAAAGATGAAAAGAAAATATATAAAGAAAAACAACTTAGCACTGAAAATTAAGTGGAACAAAGAAACTGTAAACAACACACAAGAAAAGACATCAACATGACAGCAGTAAACTCATACCTATCAATAATTCTGCTGAATATAAATGGACTAAATGCACCAATAGACAGAGAGTGGCAAACTGGACAAAAAAACACAATCCATCTATATGCCGCCTATAAGAGACACACCTTAGACTTAAAGACACAAACAAACTAAAACTCAAAGGATGGAAAAAATATATCAAGCAAACAACACTCAAAAAAATCAGGAGTGGCAATATTAATCTCCAGCAAAATAGACTTTAAAGTAAAATCCACCACAAACAATAAGGAAGGACAATATATAATGATTAAAGGGTCAATACACCAGGAGGACA